AGAAGAAGAAGAAGAAGAAGAAGAAGAAGAAGAAGAAGAAGAAGAAGAAGAAGAAGAAGAAGAAGAAGAAGAAGAAGAAGAAGAAGAAGAAGAAGAAATAATAATCTTAGACATTCTTGAAAGATTTCTGGATTTTTTTCTCATTGCCATTTAGTGAAAAAGAAGATATTTACCCCAGCATCACACAAAATGGCCCCAACTTGGCTTCTAGCATAGTTGAAACATTGAAAACCTAGTTGAAGTCCAATCAGTTAAAGGACTTCAATCAGTGGGAAACCACTTGTTATAAGTGAATTCCTCGCTCTTAGTCCTTTGCGCCTTCAAGCAGCCTGTAAAAAAAACCTTGGACTCCATGATGGGGAATTAAACCTTTTACAAATAACCTTTTATAATTTCTTTATTTCATGCAATGCAATAGCTGGAGAGCTCCACAAATTCTCTTTCAATGTTTTCACCTCTTCCATGGTCATTGCCATGGAAATGATTTCTCTCAACAAATATTGGGTGACTGTTTAAATATTACAGGAGCAACTTTCCATTGTGTTAGTTTTGCTGTAAGATGTTCAGACTGTGTACAGTATTTAAGAGTGTGTCCCTACCCTGTTTGTGTACTAATCATGGTCGTAAGAAAGCATCATTTAAAAAAAATATTTATTCATATACTTTTTACAGGACTCATATTCAGTCATTCTTGTTCCTGGTTTGAAAAAGACTTCTTGTTCTTTTTCTCTGTTCTTGGTATCATTAAGAGATAAGACCAATAATGATTAAATTGCACTGAATCCATTCCTTCTGAAGGGTTATTAGAATTTTAGAATATTTAGCAGAAGCAAAAGCTTCCTTCCAGTTGAACTCAAGTGCTGGTGATTGAACTCAAGTTGGTAGTATCTCAACTCTTGGAGATGAACTCAGGTTGAACTCAATACCTGGTCAGATTCATTTAGTTTTCTTGATAGCAATACTGAAATTGCCTTTTCCATTGCCTTTTTCCAGAATGTTCTTGATTTTTTTTTAAAAAAGAAAAAATTATACGGCCACTCAACTCACTCTCAATGATTCTAGACAGCTTACAAAGATAAAAATTTCATATAAAAACCATAAAAAGCAATAACCCCCAATAATTGGTAACAAAAATCAGTCAATCAATAAGCCCTAGTCATCTGTAAATCAATATTTTAATTTCTTTTAAGCATCTAGAAATTGGAAATGCTTGATTGTAGCCACCATGTCATTATCAAAACCCTGATCCTCATGATTTGATTCTCAAGCTTTGGAATATTGGGAATTGTAGAAAACTGAAGGCTGATGAAGATTTTACAACAAATCTGTTCAGAGGACTACAGTTCCCAGAAGCCACACCAATTCCACTGGTTTAGATGTTAAAACAGGAAAATTTAAAATTCACAGATAATGAGACGATACTGGTTGCATTTTTTGTCATTCCAACTTCCATCAGTTTGCATCTCAACACAATTTTCCACCCCTTTTCCATTTGGTTCATATCGACGCCAGTTGGTATAATTCACAGGGGTTTCATCGAAATACTCAAAGGCTCCTGGAACTGAACTCTCCTTAATTCCCAAGTAGGTATATTGATTTTGCTCCTTCACAATTTGCAAAATAGCATTGTTCTCCTTTTCATTCATGGGTTTTGCAATGGAGCCTCCTGAAAGCTGACATGCTTGGATTATTGAGTCAAGGCCAACGGTCTTCCCATTGGTAGCAAATATTTTGTTCTCCACCTTATTTATCAATCCCCTCAAGGCCAGAACTGCAAAAAGAGAATATAAAGCACAATTATCCATCTTGTCCTATCATCCGGCAATTCTTAAAGTGCAAATTAACATTTGTTTTTGCAACTCCAGATCCTGACTATGCATGCATTAACTAAATACATTTGAATTAGTCCAGGTTTGATCCATGCTACTGTCTCAGATGTCCCTCTATAAATCTGTCCCATTTCCGTACTAATCTAAAAAGATCTCTCTAAATGAAAATTCAGATTGAAATGTCTCAGAGTTAGTTTCAGAGTTTCACCCCCATAATACTTGTCTACCCATGTTTGAACTTTGTGTTTGCACATTGGAAAAAGTGCAAAGAAGACCAGCTAAGATGATTAAAAGTCTGGAGACAAAAACATACGATGAACTGTTGGAGGATTTGGGTTTAGCTAGTCTAGAGAAAAGAACATGATAGCAGTCTTCCAGTATTTGAGAAGTTGCCACAAAGAGGAGGGGGTTAACTTATTTTTCAAAGCACCAGAGGGAAGGAGAAGAAACAATGGATGGAAACTAATCAAGGAGAGAACGAACCTGGGATTAAGGAGAAACTCCCTAACAGTGAGGACAATTATCCAGTGGAACAGCTTGCTGTTAAAAATTGTGGAGTTTTTTTTTAAGAATAGACTAGACAACCACTTGTCTGAAATGAGATAGGGTCTCCTGCCTTAGTAGGAAGTTGGACTAGAAGGCCACTGAGGTCCCTTCAAGCTCTATACCGATTGATTGAATCTCACATTTGACCACTTGCAGTAGAACTAAGACTTCTGAAACACTTCCAGTTAGATTGGAAAAGCAGTGGAACATCAAAACCTCCAAACATTTTGGATAGCATCCTTATTCCCCTCCCCCAGTACTCTCCTAAATATGTTTTCCCACAACAATTGTTGATAGATACATTTATGTATCATTTACAGGAGAGTTTTACATGCTCAACTGATTTTTGAAGTTTACATTTTCCCCCTTCTGTGATCACTTGCATAGGGATGGAGTTGACTTGAGTGAATGGAGCTGAAAGTTTCCTGGCCGGATACCCTTCCTGATGCCTATGTGGAGTTCACAGCAGATAGTTTCTCCTTGCGCCGAAAGAGAAAAATATCTGCTGCTACCTGGGATCAAACTTGTGAGGGGAGATCTCCACCTCTAGGCAACCACACTGCTCTTTTGGAAGTTTACTGTATAAAATTTAAGATCAAAATTATCAAAACGAACATGGATTAAAAACAAAAAACATGTCAGTCCAATCAAAATGCTTCCTAGGGCACTCAACCTACAAACGTTTTTTTCAAATACTTTTTGAATGTGCTTGAACTTTAATGATTTGATTTGATTTGAGAAATGGTTACACCTCTGATTCCCCAATAGGAAAATGAATATTTCTCTTAGTTTTACATTTGAAAAAGTAAAGCCAAAGCTTCCTTCTCAAAAAGCAATGGAGAGACCAAATAAATGCAAGATTTTAGGGTAAATGTAGCTTATCTCGCCATCCCCTTTTCAAAAAAATATCATTTATTTTTGGCCTTTCATGAAAGCTACTCCTGGGTAAAGGTATTTGCTTTGCTGACATCGTTTGCTTTCTGTAATTCTAGGAATAGGAAAACCAAGCAGTGTACCTCCTTCAAGCCTCAGGATCCTGTCTCCCAGACTTCTTAGCACTTTCTGCACATCTGGATCGAGAAAAGCTGCACGGCCTGGAAATAAATAGAAAAACAATCCATTTAGCTTCGAGGATCAGCAGAGCAAGCCCATTTCTTTGCTCAGAATTTTGTCTCTGGAGAATACTGAATTTCCCCGTGGCCTGTCAAGTATTCTACACATGGAATATTGCATCCCATTATGGTAGCCACACTATAAAAATGGTGTTGATACTTTAGAAAGAGAGCAACAACAATGATTAGGGAGCTGACAGCGAGAACAATCAACCCATGGAACAGAAGTTGCCTTCAGAAGTTGTGGGAGCTTCATCATTGGAGGCTTTCAAGAGACTGGACTGCCCTCTGCCAGAAATGGTGTAGTCGAGTCTCCTGCTTGGGCAGGGAGTTGGACTAGATGACCTAAAAGGTCCTTTCCAACTCTGTTAATCAGTATCAGAATCACTGTAGTTCAGGGTTGTACTACGGAGTCCTTGATAGTCTCTGAGCTTGGTTGATTTCTTGCAGATGTTTCTTTACCCACCCAGATAACATTATCAGTGCTGGCAGGAGGTAGGGTTGGTGGGCTGGAGGAAGCAGAGGAAGGAGTGGGAGGTGGAAGAGAAGGAGAGGGACAACTGTGAGGTCCTCAATGCTCTCTGAGCTTACTTGTTTGTTTGCAAATGTTTCATTATCTGACTACCTCAGAAATGTTTGCAAGCAAGCAGCCAAGTTCAGAGAACACCAAGGATGCCATAATGATGCACTCCCAGGTAGTATGAAATTGGTGACATAATATTAAGCGGGGGGGGAGGATCAATTAATTGGTGGGGCCTTGGAATCACAATGAAAGCAATAATTCTTGGACTACCTTCTGGCCCAGGGGGTCCATGGTCTCCTTTCTCTCCGGTTTCACCTTTCAGTCCTCTTGGTCCTGGAAGCCCATCTCTTCCAGGAGCACCTGGCAAACCATTGGGGGGTCCCATGGGGCCTGGGAAGAAACAAGAATCAAGGAATTGCAAGCTGAAAGTAGAGCGTATTCATATTATTATTATTATTATTATTATTATTATTATTATTATTATTATTGTAAAGAAACAAATTCAGACATTGTTTTAAATAAAGAAATAAGATGCATCGACAGCAATTAAAATAAATAATAAATTCAAGGCTGGGAATAACCTTCAAGAAACAAGCACTTCAGAACTGAATGGACTCTGTCTGTCTGTCTGTTTGTGCCTTCCTTCCTTCCTTCCTTCCTTCCTTCCTTCCTTCCTTCCTTCCTTCCTTCCTT